AGAGGTGGGACACACAAGGGAAATTTGGAAAGTCATCTTTCACTCAGCTGGCTTTTAGGGCTATTCACTCTGATTCAGGTCCATCCTTCACCACCACACCAAGAATTCAAAGAGCACTAGGACCTACCCCCAAGGTATTTATCACTAAGCTCTCATTTTCTGTTCACTTTTTCTGAAATGTCACAATCAACAACTTCAGTGCTAAAGACAAATGCCCTTATCTAACAGCCTGAGCCAAGATAAAGAGTTAAAACCTACCAAGAGCTAAAAGAACTCTTCTCTGTCCTACTTGCCTTAAGGAGGAAACACTCATCTTCAAATGAGAGTCTCCTTTTAATCAATAAGAACATTTCTTCCAAATTAAGCTTATTGATTTATTTATTCTTTACCTATGAATGGTGTTTGAGCACACTGCTACAAGTGGGCCAAAACATTAAAACTCAGAAAAAAAGTACCAGTTAAAATAAATGCTAAAAGCCAAATGAAATTAAAAAGCATTAATAACTACAACCACCCAGAACACACCGACCAGTTCAAAAGACTTAAACATCGCAAATGAAGATGTGTCACCAAAAAAAAACACCAAAAAAATGCCCTGGAAGACAGGGAAAAGGGGAAATGTAGACCCAAGAAGGAAAGACTGTTTACAAAATCACTTCAGTTCTTTTCAGGCACTAGGGAAAAATTGGAGTTGGAGGGGTTTGAAATCAAGTACATAAGCAGCTATATCCCAACATCTGCTGGAGGCTCCAGGGCCGTAACACACCATTTCATTAGAAAGAAATTATACTACTGGTTCTCTTTTAGAACCAATCCACTCAAAAATGTTTGAAGTTAAAAGATAGCAGCTCTAGAATTGCTGGAGCTCATGATACCTTGCTACTCCATTTTGGTTGAAGTTTGCCACTTTAAGTGTGCCTTAATTACAAGGCACCATGCCAATGATCCTCTTCACTGTGACAAATATTGCAGATGGTTTATTTCCCATCTATATGTTAGAGAAAGAGGTTAAGCTCATGGTTTAAATCTGTGCTGCTCAGGCACAGAAATTTTCTATTTGTTTTACATATTAAAGCACAAAAATCTAGAGATAACGCTGCATTTTTTCTTCTTAGTCTGAAATTGGTTATCTTAAAAAGCTGTATTGTATAGACAACCTTGATAATACCACCTCCTTACACAGCCTGACTGTACAACCTGCTTCCAGACGGACAGCCCTCATATGATCTTGAATTAAGCTGCAAGTATTATCACTTCTGTCATATTTGCTATAAATAAAATGGAACAATGTCAAAGATGGCACTCAGCACAGAGACAGGGATGGAATTCTAAAGGAGCTCTACAAATTCTGCACCAAAGTCTGCATTAAAGAATAAGAATGTAGATTTTATATAGTGTAACTGCAGAATCTGAGGATTTAAAACAAAAAAAAACTACAAACAAAAAAACCACTCAGCAGTGTTCTAAGAAAAAAAGTCACAATGTTAAAAAATGAACAGAGGCTTTTTAATCTGTTTACGGCCCTAAAGATAAAAGGCTCCAGAGAAAAATTAGAACAAGTCCTAATGCCATTATAGTTGCATTTTAATAATGATTTTTCTCTACCCTGACTTGTGTATGCATTATTTGTCGTAGTTATTGCTTGTTTTCTCTATTATCTTAGGCTGCAAGCTCAGTTTTGTAAATATTAATATATTTAGCAGTTAAAAAGCTTTAATTCAGCATCCATTTAACATATTTATGCTTTTTTCTCCTCAAACAGTTTTGAAACTTCCAGCAGTAGCTCAAGAACTGTTTAAAACATGGGAGATAAATCTCCCTCTCAATCAGATATTTAAAAATATGTCATAAAAAAAAAAAAGGAAAGAAAGAAAATTACAGCATGGTTCAAAAAGTAATCCTAGGGCAGAATTTTAAAAATGCTCATTCAGAGGCATTCTCTACTTTTGCAAAAGTCAACAGGAAATTCACCAGTTTCAGCCAGAGCAGATACTGAGTTTTGATTATTTATGTCAAGCCACATTAGTCTGCCCTGCAGTGGATTAGGACTGCTTCAAGGCAATCACTGGGTTTGAGCTGAAAAGGGAGGCTGTGGCAGGGGGACATCCCAACTGGTCCAACCCCTTTTTGATAACGGACATGCAACAAGGCTTTTGGATGACAAGCAAGTGATTCTAAACCCCACATCCATCAGTGTACATATCCACACATGGTAATGAAATCATGAGGCGCCTCTTCTCCAACACAGGAATGCACACAGCAGTTTATGGCCATCCTTGCATATTTGCACAGAGCTTTGGTTGCCTCTTATTGCTGCCGGACACATGGAGGCAGGCCCCTAAGTTAATTCCTAATTAAAACAAACCTTTTGAGGTAGACTACAATCACTCACCTCATCCACATTCTCAAAGGCATTGATGATGTCATATGGTAAACAGGACAGAAGATCAATCACAAACCACGTTTTCAGGTAGTTCATCCTTATGAGTTTAGGATCAGATATAACCTCTCCACCAGGGCCAACAAAGGTTGTATGAAAGTTCAAAACAATGTCAACCAGAAAAATAACGTCCACGACACTGTCCAGCACAAGCCAGGCAATGTTGTTCTGCTTTGTCTTGAAAGAGACATTATATGGAACCATAATTGCTGTGTAGAAGGTTAGAATTAAGATTACCCAGTCCCAAGTAGTCTTAAAAGCACAATAGTGTAGTATAATGTGTGGTGGAGTCTTTGGAGCTTCTTGTTTGTACTGAGGAAGAATATCAGATCCCAGCTGGAGAACCTATAAAAGACAGAAAAACAAATGTTACTGTTTTCAGTTAACATGATCCAATAAGGATTCATGGATTTCCGTAAGGAGCAGCTTAAAGATGAAACTCTGTTCATCACATTGCAAGTCAATCCGCAGTTTCTAAATTATCTGATTTATGAAGAATGTGTGAAGGCAGGTATCACTTGATGAATGGGAGCAGCATAATATTTAAAGATAATCTTGCAGAAAGGGAGGTCTTTGAAGATGGACAGAGAAGAAACCATATAGTAAGAGCAGAGAGGCTTCATAAACAGGTTGTGGGTACTGCCACACCACCTTATGCTCTGCAGTTTTGAACACAAGTATTCATTAATATTTGGAAGTGTTACAAGACTAATACTTCGTGCCTGACCTCTTTTTTAAACCACTATTGAGCCAGAACGATACCCTATGAAAGCTAAAGGACCTCCTTCTAAAATGGAGCATTGCGTGCACAGTATCTGCCCTAACACCCTGGCAATATCCTGCTTCCTTCTCACTTTCTTCAAAAAGTTGTTGTTCTCACAAGCTCAATATCACTAGTGGGTTCTCTTTTATTTCTCATATTTACTTTCCTTTCTTGCATGTGACTATAATTTCCTGCACGTGCACTTTTGTAAAATGTGGAATTGGAAACATTGCAAAGGAGCCAAACCAAATTCACTTAAGAAGTTGCTTCCAGCTAATCTAATTACCTCTTATCTTCATCCAACACAAGAAACAAAAACACAAAGAAACACACAACGTGGCAATATATTGCGCTGTCAGCTGGGATTCACGTGTATTTTGGAACTAATAACACCTTTCCCATTTGGGGATCTCAAGTCTGTATGGGATAAAATAAATAATTCCAGAAACTTTAAAACTCATTTCAGCCTTACACCTGTCTCGTATTGGGGCTGATGTGCCATATCTGCAGGGGCAGCTGGATTGCAAATAGCAGTCCCGTACATGTAAAAATGACCAAATGCAGGATGCTTCCTCAATGAAGAGGATAGCACAACTGAGAATATGAACTTAAGTACCACAGATACAAATTCTCTATTAATTCTTTGCAGTTGTATGTTTAAATGAGAAAGCTGTTACTGAGATCAGACAGTAAAAGCCTGGCTCTACTGAAAAATCTGTTCTTCAGACATCACCAACGGGAAAAAAATGTAGCTCCTCTCACTCTGTGTTGGATGATAGAGCTTCCTAACATGTCTAACCTGGCCCAATGTCAGGCTGAAACCTGATGAGATGCAAATCTGCTGCTGCCTGCCTGTGTCCACCCTCCCTAGGGTCAGATTTACCAACCGCAACCTGTAAGGAAAGTCAGTTAAACCCATATGATGAAAAACTTATCGTCACATTAGTTAGCCATTTGTTTTCTAGAGAGACAGATGAGTTTCCCAAATTTATCCTGTGGCCAGAAAACGTCTAGACTGTTTGATACAGTCATTCTTTCATAGCATCCTTTGTGCAAATCCATGAAACTGTGCAAAATTCTCCCCTGCATTTAACACACCATTCTGGCTTTGACTCATAATCTGGTCGTTACCTCCAGCTATCTCTTTGGACTCATCTGTGGTCAGCACCTTACTGTCATGATAAATCAGGGCTGAGACTTCTTTTCTTGGCTTCTCCAGACTCGTTTGTTCCCTGCATTGTTCACTGGGGCAGGAGCTGGAAATAGCCTCTCTGTAGCTGGAATAATAAGCTACATAGGGCTCAAGCTGAATGTGATGAACATATGCTTGATATTTCCCTATGCCTCTGGTGGTGGAGTGCTTAGGAGCTCCCATGATACTGTAAAAGCATAATTATTATTCTTAACATAATATCATGCTGAGTTTGACATGGTGAGTGGGTGGCAAGTGGCTGTGGAGACCACTGAACTATAATGATTATTTCTTTCATGCTGCATGAATTTTTAATTTTAAACCACTAAAGAATACGCAATATCATGTTAGTCAGCTGCATTCATCACAGACTCTGAATTATTCTTGTATACAACTAATGAAAATCATAGAATCATAGAAAATGGCTGATAATTGTTAAGCCTGATAAAGATGGACAGTAAATTCTGCAAGGGATGAGCTGTGATGATAGCACTTCTCCTCAGACATAGAGGTATGGAAAAGAAGGCCGGTACAGCAGTGGTGTACCTCCACTCAGCCTGCATTCCAAAAAGCTTTTTGCCTACAAAGCACTTTGCAGCTCTAAATAACTTGTAAGACAGGAGATGGCACACTCTCCAAAGAACCTGTTCCCAAGTACAACCTTCTTCCTTATCTGAGCTTTTCCCACTGCCTGTGACTTAATGCCATTACTTTTTCTCCAACTATAGTGGTTCTGGTAAACAATTTCCTTCCTCATTCTATGCAACTGCTTTGGACTTATTTGAATATTAATGCCATATCTTCCTCAGTCTTCCCTTCTCTAGACTAAACCAATAATGGATATAACTGTATTTACAGAATACTGAAATGTCATGAATTGGAAAAGCAAGTTGGGAGAGTAACTCAGCAGTCGTACAACTGGTACGGGATAATTCAAGGGAAAACATCACTCTTGTCAACACCTGAAAACTGTTGGTTTCAGTTCTGATTTTAATTTGAGGTTTTATTACTGAAGAAAAGAAATGAAAAAAAAAAATTTAAGCTGCTATCATTTCGTAGCACCAAACCCTGTACAAGCTCTCTGGCACAAGGTGGCTAGGGCTGTCATTTTCAGAAGTCCATACATCTTGACCTTTTATTTTTTGACCCATATATTTTTCATTACTAATGGACATGAAGATGAAAGCAGTACCTCTGTTTCATCAGTTAACCTGAAGGCATTCACTTGTTGCATCATCTGCACTGCTAAGGAGATGTTTGCAACCTGCCAAAGAGTTCATTCCATCAGTTCTGAAGAAAAAAATGATGAGCAAAATACTGCAGGAATGACTGCAAGTCAAGATTAAGGTATATAAGTAGCCAGTGCACCTGTACAACCCCAGGGACCCAGGCGGGGATACTTCCAAAGAGGTTTCTCAAACAATCCCATTTCCCTGGGAGAGTAAGGGACCCTCTGCAGGGCTCAAGGACCTCAGGTCTGGTTCCATGTTGCTGTGAGGCAGCACACAGAGGAGCACATTGTCCACTCCGGCTTAAGCAACACCCAGCAAACTGAAATAGGGCCATGTAAGTACAAGTGACCTTTGGAGACTGTTTTTATGACTCAAAGACCATGGCCTGCCCCAGAAACATGAGTTTGGCTTGTAGCGCTGCTTCAGGATGAGCGCAAGAAAGGTTGAAAAAATCAAAGAGTTGGGAAATATTTCCCTCTGCAAATATTATTTATTAATGAGAATTAGGGTGTGTTTTCCCCCCCGATCTCCATCTCTTCCTGCCTTAGGAAGGGAGCAGGCGGGCATCCGTGCCGCTTACCTCGGCCAACCGGGAGTGCTTGTGCACCACCTCAGCCTTGTTCATCGGCGTGAGCTGCTGCAGGACGCTCCGGCTGTTCGTCAGCGCCCGTGTCAGCCGAGCAAACTTCGTCCAGCCTGCGGGAGAGAAGGAAACTGTGTCAGAAGTACTCAGACCTCATTCACTGCTACCAGATCTCCTCTGCGTTCGCCAATGTTAAGCCCCGGACTTGAGAAGTTTTGCTGAATTCCCTGCACAGAGCAGCTTCCGGGTCCGGGCTTAGAAACCTTGCAAAAGAGGAAAAACACCGCTGCTTCAAGGCAACCATGAGTAAGTCTGAGTAAAATCAAAATGCTTTGCCTTGTTCTTTCTTCTGTCTTTTGGAGACATTGTGTTAAAGGGATCATATTGTGCTTTCAGCCTTCTGGGGAGTTAGTCCGTTACTGAAATCTAAGTCTAAGCTGCTGAAGTTAATGCAATGGCTTTCCAACTTTGCAAATCCTGCTTAAGTAAAATCCTCCCCAGCTACAGAAATGCTCCTGCTGATTCAGGGCTGCTGATGTGGCCCTGAAAGTCTGATTCTTTTTCTTGTTTCTTGTCCCAACTAGACTTCAGGGACATGACAAAAATTGTAAAAAAAATAAATAAATTTCTGGGCTGCATCAACAGACCAAAAATCTCCAAAAAACATTAAGACTTTAAAGACAGACTAAACATTAGATTTTAAAAGTCATTAAGAAATACATTTAGGGTCAATGGTTGGGCTTGATGATCCCAAGGGTCTTCTCCAACTTGAACTATTCTATGATTCTATGATTCTATCATTTAGCTGCTAAACTAATGGTAAACAGCTGCCTTAATGGTAGCTTGAGACCCAGACACTGGGCCACCCCTGGGGAATTTTGAGTTTGCTAAGGGCAGCAGCACCGTCCCAGGAACGTGTCATCGAGCCATTCCTGCCGCAGAAACGCCCAAACGTGACAACTGGCATGGATGCGTCAATGGATGAGGTAGATGGGTGGTAGCAAAGAAAACAAATGGGGTTTCAGCAGTGTAGCACCTCAGTGGTAAGCAGGAAAACTGAAAATAAAATATCTGCAGGAAGGAAAGGGCCTCCCCAAGAGGACTCAGAGAGATGCTCAAGATTCAGTCTAGCCAGTTTACTGCACAGGTGGGTATAAAATATCAAGTTATGGACAGGAAATGGGTTCAGGAGGTTTTACTTTTTTATTTAACTTGAATGCTGAGTTGATGAAAATAGGGGAAAATGTCACATCTGAGAAAGGAAACACAACATTTCTATGTTAGCTAGGTTTATTTTTAAATGCTGGTTGTCTGATAAGGAGTCAGGGACTTGGAAAGTTAAGGGAAGCCCTGGGGTAGATAACATGAAGAACAGAGAACAGACAAGTCAGTAAGTCTTAAAAAAAAAAAATTTACAGTTCAGCTTATGCAATTTACCACATGTATATCAAATTTACACAAAGTAAATTCATTGTTCATCATTTAGCAATTAGAATAGATCTAAATATCATGTTACACCACCAGCACAAACCATTTGTGTCTGGCTATTTATATATGACCTCAAAAATTGCACATAAAAAATGCATCAGGAAAAGGTGAAAAATAGAAGCATTTTATTAACTTTTCAAATCTAAACCTTAAAAGTGAACTTTGGATATGTCTCACGCTTCTTGAGCTTACAGGGATATTCAATTACAAACATGTACTTCCTGTATTAAACAAGGTCAAGAAAGACTTTAGTGATCTGAGTGTGAATTAGTAGTCTCTAGAACAAATTCTTGTGGCTTTTTTTTTTTCCTTAATTGTCTATAAAACTGTGGCAAGGAGACAGCCTTCAGTCAAGAGTCAGAACTGTTCTTTATCTTGTTAGCCAGTGACTTCAAAGAGCGAGTGAGCACAGTAACAGCATTGTGACAGCTCTGCCCCAACATTTCTTATAATTGCTGGAGGCCATGGCGCATCCTGCTGATGGCTTTTGGCATGCTGCAACCACGCTGCAAGGACCAGAGGGAAAAACAGCTCTCCTCTGGAAAGGTGGTCACCCACCTCCAGACCCTGGGCAAGTACTCACACACATATTCACGTTCAAGTGTCCTTCTCTCCTGGAAAGGCACTTTACTGTGGTCCACACACATGATTTTGGGCCAGTCCCCAAGCTTTAGTTTGTCACCTGCCCCATAGAGCTGATACAAGAGCCTGGGCAACTGGTTACAGGGGAACCTGTTTGAGCAGGGTGGGGTGGATAAGGCGACCTCCAGGAATTTCTTTCAACCTCAACCATTCTGTGATTCTGTGACCTTTCTGATGGCTGATGGTTAATGACTTAAGGTTTACTTTATTTTCTGAGGTTTAGGGCATTGATCTGCACAGTGATTAGATGAGGATTTGGAGCAGTCAGGGGCTGGCAATAATAGCAGGTTCTTTCCCATGGTGCTTCACAGGCTAAGAGATTCCACTCACAAAAATATGGGGTTTAAAATTGCCTCTCCTTTTATAAAAGCACAACTGGTAAGAAACCCTTTGTCATTGTCTTAGGTAAGAAAAACATCTGTTCTGCACTGATCACAAACACAGAAAGCCTAGGGAAGTTGGGGAAGATGTACTACAAGGAGTTGGAGGACTAAGTCACATACCAAAAAACAGCAATTCTGTTGCTGTAAAAATAAAAAGGAAGAACTATGACTTTTTTTCAAATACTCCCTTTCCACTTTGGTGAGATCATCAATGTCATGTGGAAGAAAGAAGCCAGATTTTAGCATTCAGGGTTACCACTCAGCTCACCTGGTCTGACCTCTTCTTTTCACAGGGCTAACCATTTCATCGTGTCTTTTCTCCACCAAGACCAAAGCTTTGCTTTGTGCTAGAGCAGACCTTTTGCAAAAACCCTTCCAGCCTCATTTAGAAGCTTCAAATTTTCACATTTCTTTCAGCCTGGTGAAGCCCATGATTCTGGACACTGGAAGTACAGAATATCCTAATGTGACTTTTTTCTAATTCAGCACAACGTCCAGTACCTGCTCCAATCCATCCATCTGCAATAGTGTGAAAAAGTACCAAGTTCTTTTGTTTCCTATTTACAACTCAACAGAATTAAAAACGTAGCAACAGCAAGATACTGGGGTATGAGTGGGAAGGTGAAAATGTATACAGGCTGCCTCGAATCTGAAATAATCTGTAGAGGGTACATTTCTTTGTTTCTTGACCTTGTTGTAGACTAGATAAATTCAGAATTATATATAAAACCAATGTGTATGTTTAAATAGACCAGGCAAAATTTGCATAGCTGCCTACTGCTGTCAATGTTTCTTCAAACCATTCTCTCCTTTCTGTTCCTCTACAGACAGAGACTTGAAAAGAATGATAATTTTATCCCACGTATTAGTGACCGCCTGTCCTTACATGTATTTTCAGTCTGGAAGGAGTAAAGGAGCAGCACAAATAGCAGGTGCAAGAGGGGAAAAATAACCTACTCATAAGAGAAAGCAGCACTTCTGATGCTCTCTTCAGCTCAGCTGGATCGTGTCTTTCTTCCACAGCACCACTCGAGAATAATACCCTGAACTTGCACCATCACACTCAAATTCTCAGGAACAAAGGTAACATCATCAGATCACACACCAGATCAAGCCAGCAGCTGTTCCTCCTTACAAGAAGCTAAACTGGGTATTTCAGAGGAAGATGTTATCTACCTCGAATTGAAAATTGTGGAATAACATAAACATAAAATGATTGTTTCCCCTATTTCTCTTTAATTACTTTCTGATTCATGGTCAACACCAGAAGAATTTGTACACCTACTTTAAAAAAATATACATCATAATCTGCATTCATTCTCATTATCCAAAACAAGGGCATGTTCTTAAAAATGAGCCTAGCGAATTATTTCTCTGTTCCTAACAATTACTCAGATTAACTGCATTCTCAATAAATTGAAGATGCAGGTTTAATAACTCCATACAGTTATGAAAATAGGACATGAAGAAGGCAAGTATGCTGATAGAAATGAACAAAATTAACATCTATCTTGGCCCAGTTGTAATGCTGTCCTTCCAAGCATGCACCTTTCTCCATCCTCTGTGTGTTTTAGTCACAATTAAAAATTTTACATCCACTAAACATCCTCCACATCTCTTGCGCTAATTAGAACTGCCAGTCTGACACCCCTCTGACTGTGGGGCTAGCTGATCTGGGGACAACCTGGTGGCATACTTCACATAAACAGCTGAGCCAAAGGTTTCTCTGGAGAGGAAAAAAAAAAAGCAGTACTAAATTATTTTTTTAAAAAATAATAAATTGGTATTTCTTTCAAACCTTAGATGCTACAACATGAGTTGCAGCTGTTAATGTTGTGGCAGGATGCCTGAGGGAGTGCAGGAGCATGGACGGGAGGTAGGCAATAGTCAAGTGAAGCCGACAGAGCGAGAAAACACCTCCTCAGAGGGGGAAAAGCTTTCCAGATGGGTCTAAAATGCTCACTCAGCCACACCTTGGATTCAAACACCACTACAGAAATTATGTGGTGTCTAAGGGGGAAATGGAATTTCCAGCTTAAAACTTGATCCCATCATCTCTCCACCATCCGAACATCCAAACCATCTTACCCAAAACCTCTTACTCACTATAGCATATGTCTTTCCATCAGGTACTCCTCCAACAAGGGTAGTGTTATGCCCACAGCTCTTTCTTCCTGAGATCCTGAATCAATCATTGTGCTTTATAGTGGACAGCTGGGATGGGAACAGCTCTGTGGCAGCTGCTCTCCTAACAGCTCCCCTCCACCACTGCCCTCACTGCTTACTCTGTGTGCAGGGACCTTCTGTGAATTGCACTCTTGCTCTGCCATAGGGACTCTCTCCCTGCCCTTCTGGTCACTGATCTCCCTCCCATTAATACAACCTACAGATCAATTCAGTACACAAACACACTTATCCATCTCCAACACCTGGTCCTCTTATCTGCTGCCTTCTCTAAGAACGGAGAAATGCCATCCAGGTCAAAGATGTTGTTGCGGTATACGTCAGAGCATAAAAACGATCAGGGCAAAAGCTGTTCAAAGAAAGTGCAGCAAGAGAAGCTTCCCCAAGCAAAAGTGATACGACAGAATCACTGCTTC